TGAACCCGCATAAGGTGAATAGCTGTAGCGAGAGGATAGTCTTTATCAAACAAGTGGTCTATTGTACAGCTAGTAGGATCACTCTTGGCAATACTATGCGTAGGAAGAGATTGACGATAGGAATCCAGAGCATCTATCCCTGCTGTCGTTCTCCAAACTTTTGTCCACCGCGGTCTGCTGCCTCGGTCCTGCTCGTCAACACTATCAGAATCCGATAGCCTTAGACCTTGGACGTCGCTGTAGCTCTCGTCTTCGCTGCTAGCCATGATGAATGTGCAACTGAAAGCTGAAGAGACAATGATATTTATTCATAATTTCAACGTGCAAACGTGCCTGACCTATTTTGAAAGGTGGTTTCCTTTTATTTTTAGAGGTGTTTCCTATTTATGCAGTGGGTACCCCAACCCACATAATTGGTGCAGCTACACTTTTTTTTGGTTATAACAAACACTAATCAATTGTGGTCAACCCCCCCCCCCCCACTCAACACAAATTGGTCCGTTTTGGAGAAAGTGGTCACGAAGGCTGCGAGAAGCTCCACCGCTTCGTGGAAGGCTGTCGATGCCTGTTGGGGCAGTTGTCCTTGGGTTGAGGCGTTAATAACGGCGGAGCCTGTGCGAGTGGCCAGCGAGTACACGGTCTTGAGCATGAGCTGGTCATCTCGGACGCACACACGCGAGGTTAAGACCTGGCGGTCTTCATTTACCGCTCGCAGGAGCGAGGAGGGAGCAGGAGCCATCAAGTGTGTTGTCGATCAAGGTCGTAAATTAGCTAGTGGGGGCCACAGGCCGCTGAACGCGTACGCGTACCGTAACTTACAAGGATTCAGCGGAAGTGGCTGATTTCTGGGTTTAAGCCATTACGTTCAATACCTCGCGATCAAAAGGATGCTGCATCCTATCCCAACTTGAGATTCTCAAGGTTCTCACTGCTCATACGTGTATGTGCTTCGAATTAATTGTTTAGAGTTTAGAGTCTAAACTGGAGATGATAGCGTGTGGAACAAAGCGTATTAATAACAGGCAATTGACATTTCTAGCGATGCATCTCTGGCAGAGTTTGTGTCTGACCCATATAACCAATTCTAAGCTGTGCTTGTATGAGCAATGCCATCAATGGCGGGCTAGCCGTGCATTACTAGTCTAGTGTGATGTTTCGCCTTTGCAGAAATGGCAGTTTGGAAGCGTATTCGTCTAGGCGCGCTGTTATGGACAGTTAATTGTCTGGGTGGGTGTTCTAGCCAGCTTAATTCTCCGTGGTTTGCAAGAAGCGAAAGCATAACGAATTAACAGGTTTGGCTGAAACTTTTGCCGCCTATTTGAATTGTTAAAACCGTTTTTTCCCAATGACTACGGTTGTTTTAACTAATTATTTTTTGCAGTAGAAGCCAATTCGTGTTTATCAGTTAATTATTTTTTCCTTATGTGGGGTTCATTAACAGTGAAGTTCTAGGAGCGAGTCTTTAACGCGGCCCAGTATTATTCACAAATGGGAGACACTCATGCTTCCCTGCATCCCATTCCAACTTACTGCAGCTCAATTCGGCTGCTACTGCCGTCTTCCCAATGTTCACTTCTTATCCATTGCCTCTTGCCAGGCCAGTTCCTCTATCATCTCAATAGCCTGAGCCACCGTAGGTCGCTCCATCGGATCGTGAGCAACAAAGCGCTTAACAACGTTCCACTCATCATCACGGAAACCTTCCGGTCGAGGATAACACTCCAGCTCTTCTAATTGGCTCTTCACCGAGTCGTCGCAGTCAACTCCGTAGGGAATGTCCCCTATACGTGCTTCGATAATACACAACCCAAACGCGTACACATCTCCAGCCTTCGACGGGTCTACACCGTTCCCGAGATTGTACTCCGGTCCCTTCCAGCGATCAACACCACCCACATCAGCTCCTCTACTCAGCTCAAAATGACAAATTTTGGGTATACCATCCTCAGCTACCAAAATATGCGAGCACTTGAGACTGCCATGAGTTTTTCCACGTTGGTGAATGTGGTTTAATCCATGTGCAACCTGAAGAAACATTCGCCACAGGTTTCTCTGGTTGTTTTCCCTTTCGCTGGCAAAATAGTGGATAAAATTGCCATGTGCAGCGGCATCTTCCCATACAACACAAGGTTGTGACAGCAGCATGGATTCTCCTAGTATCTTGGCCACATTGGGGTGTTCAAACCCGTGCCAAATCTCCGTAGCATTCCAGAAAAGCTGCCTCGCATAGCGATTATCAGCCGAGAGATACTGTGCGATAAGTCTCGTACCTTGGTCGTATACACTTCGCTTGACTTCACAGCTTGTATCTTTAATTTCGGTATGAGTATCTCCCAGTTCCATATCCACTGGGGGAATGAAGAAACGCGAGATCTTAGGCACGTGCACATTCGAGCATCTCAATATTTTCGTGATCGTTTTTCGCATTAATTCGGCTTGTTGTTGTGGGAGCTCTTCGGTGTGATATTCAAGCTCAAACTTGATAATTCCCAAAATTTCAGCAATTTGCGGGTTAGCAAGTCGAACGACTATGGGTCTCGGGTCGTCCACCCGAACTCTGAACAGCGCGTACATCCGGTTGCATTGCTGTGTCCATTCTCGCCTCCAGTTGGTCATTTCGGTGTGTTTCTGTAGTTTTAAGAAACCAAATAACTGGTCGATGTCCCTGTGTATTTCCTGTAGCTTTTCGAGCGTCGACCTCTTTGTAGCGAACCGAACCAATACGTTGAGCCTTCGATGCTTACTCACTGCCACTTGGAATCTTGCGACCAGTCGTCGATGTAGCACCAGCACGGCCACACTTGAGAATAGATTGTCTCTTCCACAGCCATGCAGTATCTGGTGTATGAGTCGCAGTCGCTCGTAGACGCTTGTAAACAGTTCGTGGAACTCGTTCCCTGTATCTTGGCATAGGATCCATAGGACGTCTGTGTCATCTTTAGAGAGCGCGGACGTTGAATCTTGTGGAGCTAGGAAGGATGACACCAGCGCCGCGATGTGGAACATTGTCTAAATGTAGATGCCAGACTACCAGCTCCCCAGTATGGGGCAACTGTATGGCGCGCGTCTCGCAGTCTGTCGACTAATTTTCGACTGCGCTAAGGTAGTCTCGATCATCAAGTGAACCCAATGGTTCGGTGACGTATTTGTAAAATGGTGACTAATGTGACGGTAGTAATTTTGGGGACGGGTTCAATTGGATACCCGTACCGGCGTTATATACTGAAAACTGCTGCGAATTCCGTGAACTCGACTGTTTAGTGGCCAAAGAATGCTCAATGGCTCATGTAACATGGAACTTGTAGCATAACGAATTTACTTTGTTGCTGGCAGAGCTCGTGAGTGTTGGTAGAGCAGTCACAGCATTGCCACGTCATTTCCAGCAACATGAAGCTTAGTCACAAGTTAGACGCGTCAATCCAGCGCATTTCGTTAGCGTTTTGCCACTATTGTGAGTTCGACTCAAAATTTCCATGGGCGGTTCTTTGAATGAACCTCCCCCAAATCGCCCAGCTTTTACAATTCCGTGTACTGACCCGTTTAAGTACGAAATACGATCATGACGTGTGGCAAGAAAAAACTTCTACTAATGACTTGGATTTGTATGTGGATAATTGTCCCCCCCCGCTCCTCCAACAGACAATATCTAGTTGAAAAAGACGCATACCATGTATTAGCTGTTTCCAGACAAACTGTAACGGGGTACAATACCCCAAGTGTACCCAAGTTACATGAAGAGTGCCCAGTCACTCTTGAGATACCTGGTACATGGTACCAGGGGCTCTAGGAGCCAATCATTGCATATCTACCTAGATTCAGTATAGGTAACTTATAGTTTGTATTAGATACCAAGCTAAGTCTACCTATAAATACATTCAGTCTTAATCGTACCCTCAAGTGAGTACTTCGTCCCCTTCAGACCAGGGACACGTGAACGGTCGTTCACTTAGAGTTTGTATACTCTAGAGGAAATAAACTTCCTCTGCACAAGGTGCTGTGTGACCCCGTCACACAAACGGACATCAAAGTTACTGTAAGAAAAAAAAATCAAGGTGGCTGTTTAGGTCTTGATGTCGCGGAGACGACGCGCTGGGTGCATTTGATGTCGGCCAGGACGCAGGCAGGCGCATCCACAAAGACGACGAAGACTCCGTTGTTGGCGTCTCACCTGACTAGTCGGTTGCTGGCGTCTGAGACAAAGAAGACTCCGACTGCGTCTTTGGTGCTTCCGTTCCACTGAATGAGGATTCGGTGGAGTTCGTCCCCATAAACAAATTACACTCGATTGGATTTGCTTAGTCGGCCCCCCACTTCCAGAAAGAGGCACACAATTGACTGTACAACACACAACGGGTATCAGATGCTTAGCGTAAAACATACAACAACAAACAAATTACACACACAGCACACGTACTGTACGCCTGCCACTGCGCATTTCGGAAACCAAGCCAGTAGATGCTGAAGATGCAGTTGCCATTGCACGACGAATAGTCCACTGGCATCACGGACATTTCTCCAGAGTCGTTGGGTCCACCAGGATAGTCGGACTCGCAGTCATCGCTGTGGAGAACCATCTTGTCGTCGATGTACAGCTCACAAGGGCCCTACAAACGAGTCATTAGCATTTTGTTAAAAAAAAACAAACGAGGCTTCCTAATTACCGTACCGTGTGCGTGAAGCCTCATTTCGCTTTTCCGTCCGCAGGAACCGGTTGGGGACCCACATCCGTCGTCGTAAAGCCACACTTCTTGTCAGGTCCGACCATCTCTAGCAGGACATCCTTTACACTCATGCCCTTCTCCTTGGCCATGGTCTTGAACTTTCCAACTTGGTCGCCGCCAGAACCAACGTCCCAGAAGTTGTCGATCTATACAACCCAGTTGACAGTGGACTCGCCTTTCTTGAAAGTCGGTTTGGGCTGGTCAAGGTGGCCATGAGCGTGTGCACGCGAGGCAAAGGCGAGAAGTGTAGCAACAGAAGCGAGGGCAGCACCACCGAACACCGTAGAATAGAGTGACGATGGAGCTGCAAGTTCGCAAATGACGATAAAGAAAGTCAGAGCGAAGTGGGCCAAGCTCTTCAGGAACAAGAGAGAGAGAGGCAGACTTATCTATTTGGTCACTTATCGACGACTAGATGTCTGTTTGATCCTAAGCCTGGTTAGCAACGCCGGTTCCAGGGTCTGGTCCGGTGGTTGTACGGGGCTTGTCTCCTTTGGAGACTTCTCTGTGGGTATCTTCTCCAGCTGGCGTTGGCATAACAGGAGTCTTGTCCCGATTTCTATCGTTTCTGGTGTTCTTCGTTCTTGTTTGGCTATGGCTCGTAGTTGCTGCTGGCTCCTCGTCCAGAATTCAAGCACGCTCCTATCTACTGTGATCTCTTCCTGCTGGAAGACGACCCGGTTCCGCTGTATCCAGAGGCTGGTCATGCATATACTACACATAATCCGCCACATTCGCTTCCACTCCTTCACATACTGGGTTTCTTCATCCGGATGATCTCGGCCTAGTTGGGCCTTGATGAATCGCGACAGTGCTGGTGCTTTCCTGCTTGCGCAGGCTTCCTGGAATCTCTCCGTCGTCTGAAGGCTCCATTGCTCTCCGGTCCAATGGCTGATCAGCTTTTGCCAGCTTGCTTGAGCACAGGGGCAGTCCCACATGATGTGCTCAAGTGTTTCCTTATGTCCTTGGCAGCATTGCAGTTTGCGGCAGCTATTGTCGTGCTGCCGGCCGTCGTAATAGAGGTTGAGCTGCCGTAGCGCCACCCGGAAGCTGACCCAAAATTTGATACGCCGTGAGCTCGTTGGTATGGGCCCAGAGTTGCTTGGGTGATTGAGTCATGGCTGCTGATTGCCAGGTGCTCGTCTGTACCGCTTGTTGCAGATGATTTACTGTAGCATCCAGCTTGATGCCGTCGCCGCGGTACCTTTTGAAGGCTTGTTTCTTGATCGCAGCTAGTACATGCCGGTTCGCCGTCGAGTCCGGTACCGTCCATGGGAAGCCGTGAAGCATCGGATGCGCTTGAAAGACGATTGCGCCTGTGTAATCGTGCTGCTGTCTCTTCAGGAACATGAAGATGAAGTCATCTGCTTTCGAAAATGCACTCTGCAAACGACAGGCTTTGGCAAATCTTCATTTTGTGCGAGTGAATAGAATGGAGATGTGGAGTTACCTCGTCTAAGGAGTGGTTGTGGTTTAACGTTCACTAGTAAGTACTTCTCCGTTTCATTTATTTATGCCGTAAGCGAGATTCCAGATCTGAAAGCAGCACGGGAAAGCTCCAGAGGCGTGGCTCTAGCTTAGTGATTTTAAAAGGCATCAACGTTTATTGCTAGGACGACATTCCGGCGTTACTATGATCATTTTTTTTTATTTATAAGGATGGTTTGCATTTTCCTCCGTAATTCAGATTCTTTGTCATTGGAGAGTAAAAACATATGAGCATGTTCACCGTGATCTGCTGCATTTAGGAAATTTGTGAAAAGAGCTGTGAAGGTGTGTCTTGACGCGTTTCTGATTGGAACAACTGTAGTAGAATGGTACGTACATGTACTAATAAATGCAAACTGCGACGGTGCTGCCACAAAACAAGGTTCCCTCTTGGTTTGGTAAATGCGTAGCTCGATGTTCTTCGTATAATTCCTGTTGTCAAGATATGGTAATGAAATGTTCATCTTACAGCTCGACTAGTTTTGATCAAAAGCCTGCTTTCTACGTGTGGATGTAGTAGTCAATAGCTCTTATACCAGAATCGCTACCTGTGCTTCCTGCTTGGGTGATACGGTTGTGGTTTCGGCAATGCTGGTAGCCTTCACGCAATTACTTCTAATACAACATTACTCGGACCTGGGCACTTTAATGAGATCCTCTAATAGATCTAGATAAAATCGCTGGGTGCTGTGACGAGTTCAATGCCTCAGAATTGTGTTAAGCGCAACGCAAATACACTGGAAACTCGTTGGTGTGGTACGCTTCCAGATATGCACCATGTGGTATTATAAGTTTGGTTTATGCGGGAAAAATGACGCATAAACATTATCGTTTGCTTGTTATTTTGACTTACTTCGACGTAGTGTCCAGCACAATACTGAGACGAGGAATAAGAGAGGTCGAGCTGCTGAAACGATAGAAGGCGTCCCCTGATCGCGAACATTGCTAGCCTATCAGCTTCCTCAAGCTGGTAAATTTCCCTTGATACACAATTCGCGCTACATAGAGCATTTCCACCAGTTGTGACAAAAGTCGAAGAAACTTAAAGAGACAACGCAGTCGATAAGGGTGACAGAAAATTTTTTTGGGTGCTTTTTCGACTATTTCATAGTCAAAATTAACCAATGGATGATCCCCGACAATTCAGCTAGGTGAGGGCCCTTACAAAACTCAAGATAGCTGAATACAAGGGCACTCACTGGTCGAGATTTTGTCTAGATTTAGTCGAACCGTGCGATCTCATACGCCGGACTTAAGTTCGCATTTTAGCTTTAGTCCAAAGTGGTGGAAATGCTCTTAGTGATGCTCATGCATTCCCGCTCAGTAACGGCAAATCGAAATCTAGATGTGATGCTTTGGCCTACGAGGACAGCGAGCCTTTCTAGTGACAATTGCGAGCACATGAGCTATAGTCGACTTTGGAGTGAGTTTTCCGTACTAAATAAATGCCAGTATTAGTAAAAAAAAAAAAAAGGCCGCTTTTGAATATATCTCATCAAGCTCTTTAATTCAGTGTACTTGAGTATAAATTGGAATGATACAAGTGCGGACAGTTCAATTCTGGGCTACGATTCATACACCGTAATCATTATAGTAAGGTCCATCCACAGCAACTGCAAGGGTTTCGCATCACAACCTTTTGAGAATTCATCATACATCGTACCGTTGGTTTCATTCGATCAAATAATCAGGATTGTTGCTGGACCTGAATACCCATTTTTGCAAGCATACCAGCCTGGGTCATCCAGGGACATATAATGTATCGTCAACCTGGTGCTTGAAGCTGGCACCTATTGACAAACAAAGCTACAGCAAATCAGGTTAAATGTACGCACCAGTATACCAATGTCACGACGGTACCAAAATGGGGTCGCAGAAGGCTTACTTAACAGTACCCACTGGTATACAAAGTCGTGCCTTCGCCCCGACGCGATATGTCGCGATTGACATAAGGTATACCTCAATGATGGCACCTGTATAAATAAATACACTATGCTAATTCGTTGAGGTCGAAGATTATGGATTATCATAGAAAAAATCTAATCACTGTGGGGCAGACTCGCAAACCTCGCCACCAGCTGTCATTTTTGCTGGTAAATGAAAATTAAACGCGGCCCTTAACCGATCAAGACTGAATTTAAGGTATCAAATGCATCACCAGAATATCCTCTAGTTCTTACTGTTTGAGAGATGAAAAAAAAAAAAAAATAGCTGAAACTGTCCGTTTTCCAGACCTGCAAAGTTTTTTATGTTGCGCTAGCCCTTGGGGGCCGGTGAAATGATCGACCTGTAGGCGGTCCTCACCTGGTTTTCCCTCTTACTGTAAGTTTTTCTAGTGCAAAACAAAATATGTGGTGAACGAGACACTTTTGTTCTCATTCCAAAACTTGAACGGTTGAATGGTAGTATGATTTTTCTTCTAACGCATTTTGCTCTAGATTGAGTAGTGTATTCAGCTGTTCAATTACAGTTATGAGCGCTCCAGATAGCTAAATAGCTCACTGCGCCCACCCGGATTGATTCTCAAGCCAAAATTCATTAAACACATGATACACTACATAAGATACTAAACAGCTTCTTTTTAGCATAAATACACAGAATTCCTCAATGTGTAAAGCGTTCTGTACAGTTTAGTTACCTAACAGTTGACTATTTTAAACCTTTCTGAACATTTTTTTTAACAATTTTGTTTAAGTGTATGATAAATCGATATTGAAAGAGTTAACCCACACGCAGAAGCCCTTTAATGTAGCTGCTGCGTGCATTGACAGTACTTACAGTACATTGTACATTGGTTACACGTATTGAATAATAAAGACCTTTGCACTCTTTTGGATGCAGGCTCCAGTTCAAGGTGGTGAACAGTAAAAGCTCCAACAAACCGACAAACTTTTGTCGCAAATGGGACCAAGATGTGCAACGATTGAATAATGTGATTCCTGGGACGACTTCACAATGTACATTGTGCTACCTAGCTGGCGCCAGCATGATGGGTTAATAATATTTGGGCGTGTACGATGTAGCTCACCCCGGTGCCGCTACCTAAGCACCTGGTTCGCGCGTCGAAATTAGGTCTGGCTGGGTAGTAGCAAGCCCAGCGTGCTGCAGGAGCTCATATTTCCATCGTGAATTTTGTCATGAGCTCGATACGCACAAGGGCGGACAATGAGCGAGCCGAACCGCAAGTGCCGATGAAGCATAACATGATCGAGTTTCGACAAATGGAGGCTGCTGCTAGTGTTAAAGATATCGAGTGCGCATAAGACAGAAATTCATAGTACTGTATTACTGTTACTGTAGTAATGCATAACTTCAAGAGGAGATTAGAGCTATTTAAGTACTTCATGGCGACGACTTGCCTCGCTACTGCCAGTTATTACTAAAATCGCTATTAATCGCTGACTGGGGTGTGGTGTATCGCTTAACCTTTACTGCATCTACTGTATGCGCAACCCTATCCATCTAGAAAGGTAGAACGGAGAGCATGCACTGCATTTCACTCGCTCATTCGCAAGTACATACGAACAAGCCTCTGAAGGCTGTTATTAGCCTATCACGGGGACGTTAAAAGCAAGGCGACCGAAAACAATGATACTATTTAAAATTAATCCTACGTATTAATTAAAGTGAAAGGCTAACTGTTAGCAAACAAGATCATATATTTTTATCCAAAAATTATCATAACGCAACACTGACTTACAGTACGAACAACAACGCTTACGCTGTTTACCTACGTGTCTCTGCAATGCAGAGAAACGTACTTCCTCCGTCCGAAAATATAAGGCAGTCCCTGTAATTCTGTTGTGCGGAAATATAAGAATTAAGTGCGTGTATCCATTACTTATTTCAACTGAACCGAACTTAAGAACAACTTTGCTCTGTTGTACACCTCCTCAGTACAAGCTAGCGACGGCAG